TCTTTAAGGCAGAATTATTCAAGGTGTTTTAGTTAAGAAATGCCATTGAGATCAAATCTTAGGTTGCGTTTATAAGTAACAATGTCGTTATTTGAATATTTAGTGGTGTTTTGATAATAAATGCTTTAAGTTTTATAAAAACATGGAAGCTAGCAGCGTTTGTAAGTGAAAAATCGTTACAAAACTGCCGTTAATACGCCATTTTCTTGTAGTGGTTATAATATATTTGATATTTTATAAAGCATTAAATTTAATGAAAATATTTTTCTATCAAAATAATAAATTTTTAAAAAGTTAATCATAGTAATATTTTTACAAATATTTAATATGAACAAGATAATACTTAATTATTTAATTTTTTATTGGTTTATTTAATTTATTATAAATATAATCTCTCTGTTTACATACTAGTTGTTTATTTGATTGTACCTAAGCATTTTGCTCAATATAGGCGTACGTACCAGTGTTCAAAGAGCTGGTTTTGAATTTTTTTCTCAAATAAAAAGTAATTTTTTGATTATATAATTATTTTTTTATATATGCATTTATTCAAATATTTTAACTAGTTAGTAATTTATTTATTTATTTATTACATAATCATATAAATTTATTTATTACAATAAATGAATAAATAATTTGAAAAACTTTAAATCAAAAAATTGAAAAGTAAAGTACAAAATGGAAATAAACAAACAAATGGGAGAATTATAAGAAGAATAAACGATTTAAAAATTTTTAAGTAAAAAATGAAAAAAAAAAAAAAAGGGAATAAGGGGTAAAAGGGAGAGAAGATTTTGTAAAAATAAAAGTGAAAGGAGAGTGTGGTGGGCATGGAAGATTTCTACAGGACCCTTTAAGGGTCCAGAGAATATTTTGTTTGCAATGCAAGTTTGCCAAATATTTGATATGTTTTGAAAAAGTAATCATTAATTTATAAATAAATATTTTCTATTGTTAAAGGCTCTCGCAATAGGTTGCTTTAACCATGGTCTTTGGATCACTACTTGTTTTGGTCTAGTAGTCTAACAATTATTACACATTTGTTTGGAAAGTGCGCTTCATCTTTAAGTTTTAATGCATTGCATTCATGGAAGATTTGTCAATATTTGGTACTTACTGTTTCCTTAAAAAAAAAAGTACATTATCAATCAAAGTGATTTCACTTGTTTGTTTTGGATGTAAAATGCATATATGATAAAAAAAAAATGCATTGCATCCATGGAAGACTTGTCAAGTTTTGGTACTAACTGTTTCCTTAACAGAAAAAGAATAGCAGTATCAATCAAAGTAAAATCCCTTACTTGTTTTGGATGTAAATGTATATAAAGAGAACAAAATAAAATATATATTCCTTCCTTCTTTCTTTCTTTTTTTCTTTTGCTTTTGTCACATTCAAGCTAAAAGTTACATACAATTTGGCAAAAAAAAAAATCATTATTAATATGAATGTTTATAAGAATAAGGGCATTAATAACTAATGTCGGTACTCCAAAGTTTGAGTTATTAACAAATACAAGAAAATAAAGGAAAGAAAAGAACGAAGCAAGTTTTTCTTTTGTTATAAATATTAATCAACAAATCTTTCTTTCTGTCTTTATTTCAAATTCTTTATTATTCTAACATGCCAAATTGGGCCTAAGGTTTAATTAAAATTAAGAGTGAATTGATTTCGATAATATTAAAGACAACAATAATAATGAGATTGATTATTGTAATAATAAGATTAGAGTTGTAACAATAAAATTAAAATCAACAATGAAAAAATATGTATTTGGCGAAAATAATAATAATGGTGTGATGAAAATTATAGAAAAAAAAAAAAAACTTTGAAAAACATTTGATTAAATTTAGTTATAATATATTTGATATTACAAACTTAATAAATTTTAAAAAATATTTTTCTATCAAAATAATAAATTTTTAAAAACTTAATCATAGTAATATATTTCAAGTATTTAATATGAACAAAATAATACTTAATTATTTAATTATTATAAATATAATCTCTTTGTTTACTTACTAGTTGTTTATTTGATTGTACCTAAGCACTTTGCTTAATTTAGGTGTATGTACTGCTGCTCAAAGAGCCGGTTTCAAATCTTTTTTATCAAATAAAAGGTAATTTTTTTATTATATAATTATTTCTTTATATGTATTTATTCAAATATTTTAACTAGCAAACTTATTTATTTATTATTATATAATCATATAAATTTATTTATTACAGTAATTGAATAAATAAATTGAAACACTTTAGATCAAAAAATTGAGATGTAGAGCAAAAAAATGGAAATAAACAAAAGAAAATAATGGGAGAGTTAATAAGAATAAACAATTTAAAAATTTTTAAATAAAGAAATGAAAAAATTTTAACAAAACAAAAATCTTCAATATAAATTTATTTATTTCTTAAATTATTAAACAATTATAAATCTTTTATTTTTTTTAGTGCAGGGGGTAAGGGATGGGTTGGCTCAAAAGTGAACCTTGCATTGTCCCTTAAAGGCTCTTTGGCAACTAGGCCACGACGCCGGCGACTTCAAGATTACAAATCTTTAAAAAAGTGAAAGAGGAAATTGTGTGGGGCATGGTAAATTTCAACTGGACCCTCGGGTCCAGTGAATATTTTGTTTGCAATTTAGTGAAGTTCCAACAGCATTTTTCCAAATATTTGATATATTATGAAAAGCGGAATGCTAGGGTCACTCTTCTTTGCAGATGGTTTTCAACTCTCGAAATCTTATAAAGCCACGTCATTCCAATTTTTGAACTTAAAATTTGTTATTGTCTTTACCGGTAAATATTTTTGTCCCAATTTTCAGGTATTCTGTAATCGTTACTGTTGACTGAAGTTTTACTTCATGAAAACATGAAAAGAGTGTAATACTAGTAGAGCATTTTAATCAAAGTGATTTATTTTTAATTAGTTTTCCTTCACACAATTTTTATTAATGATTGAAATGTACAAGTTAAAAAAAAAAATTCTCAATGAAAAAATCAATGCAAAAGCCAACAAAATAGAAATTATGATATAACAAAAAGATAAGCGAGTTTGTGAACCCCGTCCAAAAAGGAACGTTATGCCTCCTGTTAACAACAGAAATGCCCATGAGGCCATGAGCTTGATGCAAATGACTCAATAATCAAATATCTCGGATAAAACAGTCGAATACCAACAGAAAGAGACAAAGGTTTGAAAAGATTACAAGAATAAGCTTCTCATGGGCATTTTAACAAACATCTGCTAGTGCCAATCAGCCACTATCCATATGGGCCATAACCAACACATTAAACAACCTAGATTCAAGTAAAATACCAAAATAATCAATAACAACAAAATTTATTAGAAACCAAGAAGAATAGAAGCCAATGTAAGAGTTGGGGATTTCTCTTTCCAAACTTAGTATCCTTCTAATCACAAAATTCTCTTTCCTAACTCATGGGCGAACTTCTTTTTTTATTTTCTTTTCAATTTCAAGGTGCACCTGTTTTACCTTTCTAAATTGATAAACAACATTTTTTTTAATTGAAACTTTCCAATATAAATTTCATCAATTAAAGGGTAAAGGAAACTTATATACAATCCACTAAAAGTCCAGATAAAACAAATAATTCAAAATAACAAATTAATTATTATTATTTTTTTTTTTGCGAATGAATTTTATCAAGTATTAAGAAAACGATAATAAAAAGTTAAAAATAGAAAAAAAAATTTGTTATTGATAAAAAAGACTCAGCTTTGAACTTCTCTTTTTATTAAAACTCTTACATACTTTTTCTACGAAAAGAACAAAGAAAATTTTTAGAAATCCATAATATAAAATATAAAAATTATTATATTATAATTTGTGTCGATTTGTCAAATGTAAAATTTTTTTATTAAATTTGTATATATATATTTTTAATTTTAAATTATTTTATTTTTATATTTTTTCGTATTATTTTTATATAGCTATTATGTTGCATTTAAAATTATGAAATATAAACTTTTACATAAATTTAACCAAAAAAATCATTACTAGTATAAATGTTTATAAGAGCAAAGGTATTAACTAGTGTGGTGTTTCAAAGTTTGGGTTGTTAAAACAAACAAGAAATTAAAGAATTAAGAAAGCCAAACCAATAAAGGAAAGAAAAGATTAAAGGAGGGTTGGTTATAAATAGTGATGAACAAATCCAACTCTTCCCATGCGTTTTTTTCAAACATCTTGTGTCTTTCCTTACTATCTCAAATTCCCTTTTCCCTAATGGAGGAGAGAGAGGGAGAATTGATCGCTTTAGCCATCGACATTCATTGGTGTTGAATGAGGAGCTGAGTGATATAAGTAAAGAAGCTTGCTGCAAGGGATGTTTGGAGCCATTGTTTGGCCCATGTTTTAGCTGTGGAAAATGCCAGATTCACCTTCATAAAAAATGTGCCTAAGCACCCTTTCAAATTACTTACTCCCCTTTTCATAATAAGCACCCTACTCTTACTCTTACTCTCAAGCCATATGGATATTTTTGTGATATATGCAAGGAAAGTCGTGGCATGTTTTATTATTGTTGCTCTTCCTGCATTGCTTCCCTTGACATCAAATGTGCTTTTCTATTGCATAACATTGACAAAAATTTTCGTGAGCTCAAATATATTGACCATGAACATCCATTGACCTTTATTGAAAATCCAAATGATGAAATCAAAAGAGCCGATTGTTATTGGTGTCAAAAACCACTGGCAGACTCCGTTTATGTTTGTCTGAATTGTAAATTTTACCTTCGTAAGAAATGTGTTCAGTTACCCACTCAAATTTATCACCCTTGCGATCGCAAACACCCTCTTTATATTGAAGATGCTAAGCTTTTTTGTCAGCTATGCCAAAAGACTCATTGGAGTTTGTTTTATCCTTGTCTTACTTGCAAATTTGACATTGACATTGAATGTGTTCGGTCAAGTGCAAGGCACATTACAATTGAAGATAAAAGTTATCATAAGCGCCCGTTCACTCAATTATTAAGAGATGACTCATTCATGTGTGATGCATGTGGTACAGAGGGAAATTATATTTCCTGTATCTGTTCTTCCTAGTAACATTATGATCCATGAAAAATGCATTTCATTGCCACGCATCATCAAAATCACACGTCATCACCATTATATGATTCACAATTATTTCTTTCAAGGAAAAGAACATAAAAAACATGATTGTGGAGTTTATCTTTGTGAAGTGAAAGCAAAGTACGGGAGGTACAATTGTTTGAAGCAAGATTGCGATTTTGTTGCCCATGTGAATTGTGCAATGGAGATGTATGTTAAAATTGATCAAGTAAATGATCAAGATGAGGGGTCTATTCAAACTTTAGCTACAAATTCTTCAATCACTTGTGTTATTGAAAGGAACGAACATGGAGAAGCCATGAAGGTGAAACATTTCAACCATGAACATGACTTAACATTAGGCAAAATGATCAAGGAAGACGATGTTAAAGGTTGTGATGGGTGCATGCTATCCATCTCAACTTGTGTTGAATTACCAAGAAAAACGCGTCTTTGGTTTCATCAATCTCTCACCACCCTCATCAATTCATCGGACATTTTCAAATGTTACCAGTGTAAACGCCTCTGCAGTGGTTCGCTTACAAAAGTGACGAAAACTCTTACATTTATTTCTGCCTAAGGTGTGCTAGAGTCTCTCGTACCCGCATATATGAAGGACAAAAACACTCCCTTTTTCTTGATTTTAAATTCCAGGGTAAATGCAATGCTTGTGGTGCCAGACTTGAAGATGGTGCATACAAATGTAAAGATAAAGATTGCACTTTCGCTTTGCATTTTGCACGCCTGACACTACCACGAGTAACTTGGCATACATGTGATAAACACATGTTGAATCTTAAGTTTCATGACGAGAATCATGATCCAGAACAATATGACTGCGATATATGTGAAGTAAAAAGGGATCCAAACCATTGGTTTTATCATTGTGTAATTTGTGATAATTCTGCTCATCCAAATGTGCTCTTAGAAAATATCCATTTATTAGGATGAAGATTGGGACCACTTTCCCCTATGCCCAGCACCCAGCACCCACACCCACACGGTCATTCTCTCATTTTTGTCGAAACGATTGATGGCACATGCTCTATCTGTGGAAGGCCCTGCCAAGATGCAGCTCTTCGATGTTCAGATTCTACATCCAACTATGTCATCCACCTGGATCATGTGTTCCGGATTTTAGCTTAATTTCTTATAAGTAGAGAAGCAGCTGAAATAAGTGACTATTTTTTATAGTATAATGTTATATTCCGCTGTTATATGAATTTCTTTTCAGTAATAAGATCAAGTTGCTTTGATTGGGTTTCTAAAAATTTATCTCCATGTTGTATTCTAATGTTTGCTTATGATGATTGGGCTTCTCTGGTATTGTTTCTTTTAAGAAATGAATTTTGAATCGTCATTTCAATTTGTTGGCAACATTGTTCCAATTATATTCATCAAACGTTTAATAATATATTGCTAGAGGATTTATTTTTTAGAATTATTAAACTGTCTAAAATCAAGCGTATCCGTTTTTAAGTGATAAAAACTTATGGTTGAGTCGTTTTGTTGTATCTTAAAAAAAAATGAAAATCTATGAAGTTGGCAAATTGTCCAAATATATCTTGATAAAAAAAAAATTATTAGTACTGAGATTTGAATTTCAAGCTTGTTAGATTTCACCTTTGAGTGATTGAATGAACCAACTGAAATAAATTAGAATTCAAAGGAGAGCATATTGTTGGCAAAAAAAAAAAAACTAAAAAAGAATTGGATTATGTTCATTTTATGAACAATTTAAAAGGAAATTGTGAATGAATAGGAAAATATATGCATTCATCATTGCGGAGTTAAATGTTTAAAAGTGCATGTATAAAGTTTTTAAATCGTATTTTTAAAAGAAAATTATGAACTAAATAAATCAAAACCAAGATTAAAATACCGGCAGGTTAAATGGCTTGTTATCAAAAAATGGTATCATTGTATTGTTAAAACTTCAAAGTGAAGGCAAAATATCCAGTAATGCACCGTAACGTTTTAAAGTCTATAAAATATTTACGAACTTTACACCTACAAACATTAAGCTTACATATCATGCACCACGCACCAAGAAAAATAAAGCTGTAACAACAAAAATAGGGTGCAAATACAGAACAGAAATTATGCAACCATTACAAATGTCCTGATCAAGCATCAATAACTAATTCTTTGGTCATGTCTCAGAAGAATAGTGAAGATAAATAAATTCAAAACACAGAACCAGCTTTAATAGGCTCCTAAGAATTCTGAACATTCCTGTCCCATTAGCATATCATGTGGTATGAAGCCCAAATACAGGGTAAAAGATTCATCACATAAATTTCTTCATTGCTAGTTTTCTGGTTTATATGACCTCACTATTAGAAATGCATTCGAGTTTGGGATTCACTTGATCTGAAGATAATATTTGCTAGACTTGATTCACATCTTGTATGTAAAGTTAATATGGGTTAATCAACAGTTCCTTTGATACGCAGCTGTTATGAAACCCAGTAACTTCTAGTGCAAATTCCCCAATTTATCATAGAAAATATAGTAGAAAGGCTCAGAGAAAGAAAATTCTTAAGTGTACGACGCAAATGGATGGTTGAAGATTGCTAACAGTGAACACTGAATATGTCTGCTCCGGTCTTAATAAAATCTGGAACTTGCTGCTATGGTTCCACAATCATCTGCAGTGCATCTATCTTAAGTTAGAAAATGTTTTTTACCAATACTGTACTGGTTGATTAGTCAAAAGGTATGCAAAAAGAAGCATACCAGATGCAGATCCAGCGGAAGATCCATCACAGGTCATAAGGCTGATGGTTTGACACAAATTTTTTAAAAAAATGCGATACAATGACCCATCAACAACGAGAGAAACCCAAAAAGCATCAATTATGCTCATAGACAACATTGATATAAGGAGACAAATAAATACTGTTTATCACAACAAAGACACTAAATAAAATCAATCTCAAACCAATTTTACCATCTTTAACATTCTCCATCACTGCTAGAAAAGATTTCCTCTTAGTCTAGTCCAACTACCATAAATAGAAAAAAATTGATGCAGATGCAAATACATTAAAAACAATTAAACTTGGAGGCTGGAGGGTTTCAGATTCATGAGAGATCAGAGAATAAAAAACAGGTGACATTGTTTTAAACTCCCCAAACTTTTTCAAAGAGTGATGACACAGGAAACCAAAAGAAACCATAACAGTGACTATAGTAACAACAGCCCAAATCGGGGTTTCTTCCAAGGATCTCCCTACGCTGAGCTCTCCTTTCTCTATTTCTATCCTCAAATGGTAAACCCTAAGCACTAATGGGCAATTCTGCTTTCAGAGCATTGAATATATGGATCAATAGACCTGAACAGACACAGAAAAACAAAGACTCTAACCCTTTCAATTAATAGCAGATATTTGATTGTAGGGTTGAGGTTTTGCCATAAAATTAATTGAGACCATTCCAGCCAAAGTGAACTTGAGAACACATGTATGGGCTATATATAGACTTCCATTGTATGTTACACCAAGAGATTCTTTTAAAAATTCATGAATCGATTTAACATCCTATTAGAGGTGAAAATGTGAATATTCAAGTGAATCTTAATGAAATGCACAAAGGAAAAAAAATAGTTAAGATACATTGTCTTTCCGCATTTTACACAAAGATGCTTAATATTTTCAAACCTAAAATATTCATTATGCATTATTAAATGAATAATGAAAATTTTAAACTCAAGTGACAAATGACAATATATTTATATGACCGTAAGACAAGTTACAAACAGCACTAAATAATCAGAAGTAAAATAAATGGCCACAACGTCTAATTCCATGGGTTTAGCGTTTAAGTCTGATTCCTTATCTACACAACCTCTTCTTGAGCTTAAACTTGAGATGTTAAAGGTTGTCAAGTAACTGTATCACAGACAATAATATCTGTTTATCAAATCTCTGGCTTCCTATCATTCTTTTGACAGATTCAAAATGAAAGTAGCGACTTGACTACCTAAAACCATTAGCACACCAATCCTACCTACAGAAAAGGTAAAAGTAAAGGATCAAACCAATCAAAATTGACTATGGCATTTCTTACATCTGTACTGTTATTAGCATCCATTTAAACCTCTGATTTCACATTACATGCTTGCTCATGACATGAATAAGAAGCATATGAACAAGAAATTCAAGCATATAATCAACATTGATAAGGACGAGAAAACTGAATTAACACCCTTGTCTAACATAAGGCCCAAAAAAATAAAAATAACCCTAAATCCCTAATTGCTAACCGACATCAAGTTAGCCTCAATCATACTCAAAGTTCAGCCTCAACCTAACATAATTAACAGTTTAACACAAATAATTGAAGGTAAGCACAAGTAATTACCTCTTTTTCAAAATTTTGCAAATTTAAACATAAGTACCGGGTGACGACTAGAGTCGCAAGACAGGAAACTCCTCTTGGTGAGGGACTGAGATGAGAGTGTAAGAATGACATGAGAAAGAAGGGGGAAGCAACAGAGGCTGCGGGGGTCAGGGACCGGCAGAGGTGGTGTCGGTAGAGGAGGGTAGAGTAGGGGCAGAACAAGCGTGGAAGGGGAAGGGATCGCGAGGTTCTGGCAGTCGGACATCGAGCAGGTGACGGGTTCTAGCCGGCAGAGGCAAGGTTGCGATGGGTTTGGTCAGGCTGGGATCGGTCGGGGGGGGGCGAAGGGGCGTCGGCAGAGAAGAGAGAGAAGAAAATGGAGAAATGAGGGAGATCGAAGAAAAAGAAAGAAGTTTTAAAGTTAAAAATAAATTTTTTTAAAAGATAAAACAATGAGTTAGCGACGAACATACCTTTCGCTATCTTCGTTAAAATTGAAAAGAAATAGCGACGCAATTCTGTCGCTAACATTAGCACCTTGTTTTCCACCGGTAAATTTTGGTCTTTGGCGATGGAATTCCATAGCTAATCTGTCATAAAAATTTCTTTTATTGACAAAAAAATTCTGCCGCTGATAAACTATTTTTTTTATAATATATAAGTAAATTCCCATTAAATAAAATTTCTGACTCAATCACTAATTTGAATGGTGTTCTAATCTTCTTTGGTAAGTTGTTGTAACTTTATAATTACCATGACATTAAGGTACTCAAAATCTGTGGGTTCTTTTTAGTTCTTACTTTTCTTTTTCGTTATGTAAATTAGAACAATGCAAGTACCTTTTTTTTTTTACTCAAAGAAAGAAGAATTCGAATCAATTCATTGAGAATGGAAATACAATCACCTTCCATCGAACCAGTTTACTCCTCTCTTTTCCTTCCCAACCCTCATTCCCCAATTGACCCCAACCCCAACAATTCATTATGGTGTCAAGAGTCGTTATTGTTAGGCTTATTTTTAGGTCCAAAAGAAAAAATGGTTTTTTGTTACATTAGAGAATGGCAATAAACAATTAGGGGCATTTGACTTTTAGGTTGACTTGACATGACTTGACATGTACGATGTCAAGTCAGCTTGGCCACCTTATCAATTTACCTAGAGGAACCTCTTTTTATGCTGACTTGTCACTCTTTGAGTGGGTAATTAGCTTTTAGGTCAACTTAGTTTATCAGGTTATCTTAACCACAAGATTGAGCATGGGTAGTTTAAGCTTTCTCAAAACCCCTCACCTTTAACTATAAATAGAGCCATCCAGGTATTATCTATATATATTCTTCCACTTTACTACACTCATTTTCTTATGTTCCAGCACATACCTCTAACTTTAGCATCAAAGTGTAAACATTGAAAAAATGTTCAACCTTTGCCATTAATCACCCTCTTTCTCTCCCTTATGTTTTCAAGGTTTTACCCTTTAGCTCAGAGGTCGGCACTATTATTTGGCTCGTCAGGTAAGGGCTATTCATTATCTAGTAGAGCTAAATAGCATGTCGCTCCAAAAAAAAGGTTCCCAAATACGGAGAACCAACTGCCAAGCTGAAATCGAA